TTACTCAGTGCCAAGCTCAATAGAAAGTAATCTCATGAAAGAAGCTTTATTTTAATGAAGTATATCTAACGAATGTAGCAGAATAAATGAGTTTTCCAGTATCTTAGTTAGCTCTTCGTGTTTCGGACTGAACCTTTGCTCCGAAATAAAAAATCAGTGTTCCATTGTATATAAGCCCATAAAAAAATGTTTGCTATAAAGAGCAAAGGAAAAAAGTCATGATAGAGATACAACGAACATTTATTACGAACACCTTTCAAGCATAACTTAAGTTTTTTTTGTATTTGTGTTCTTGAATCTAGATGTTAAAAAATTGAACTAGCTAGTTAGTGGCTTTTTCCGATTTAAAAAAAACACATTTTCATATCATGGTTGTTCATCTTGAAAAGTTTATGTATTTTAAACAAAATTTATTTGTTTTAGAGATTTACAAGCTGTTCGTTCATACTAAGAAAATTGATTTCAGTTCTAAATAAATGCTTTGTTTTCTCTGGATAAGCTTTAGGATTCGGATCGATTATCTGAAAATTAGCCTCTGTACTATATTTTTACGCTGATGTAATCTTTCTTACATCCTATCAGATAGAATACCCTTAGTATTTTGAAACTTATAAACATTGGATTATTAATGGGAAGAACGCAAAAATTAATTGACGTGTTCTTCCTTGAAAATATTCTGTCACAGCCGTTAGATTATTCGTATCTTCAGATACTAAATTTTTTCAAATTAAAAAATTGATTCATATATAGATCTGATTACTTCTATTATAGCACGAATATTTCCACGACACATACTCGATTTGCTAGTCTCTATTTACGTACAATTAATTGAAAATTTTGAATGTTTGCAAAAAATATCTTGTACAAAGTCTCCTCTAATGCTTTTTTTTGCAATTGAAATTGAACAAGAAATTTCGTTAATAATCGTTTATACCTGTTGCTGGCGGCCCGTAGAGTAGCAATCTACGTCCATATTTAACGTTCAATTTTTGATGTGCATCAGCTATATCAATTTTAAGAATAGCATCTAGATTTCGAATTCGTTCATCATCTTCAGCTATTTTGGTTTCTAATTCACGGATTGGTGCTCTATGTGCGGACAATTGGGTTTGTGCTTGTTGAAGATGAATTTGAGTCTCTTTAAGTTCTTTCTCGATGAGTTCTACCATTCGTTTTCTTTCATCGTGCTTATCGAATAGTTGTTTCGTAATTTTACTACTGGCCAATCCTTCGAGTAAATCTTTGACTTCACCATCAATTTCTTTCTTTTTGGAAAAAGTATTTTGTAGACCATGTTCAAAGGTTTCAACCTTGTCTTTGTCTGCTCTAGCTTCTTTTCAAGTTTATTAACTTGAGTACGACGTTCCTTATTGAGTAACAATAAATGATCTCGTTCTTTAGTCCATTCAACACATTGCTGTTTATGGGCATTCGCATCAACTAGAGTATTTCGTAGACAGACTGTTGTCAAATATGTTTGTATATTACTGAGAACATTATCATCATCATCATATGTTAACCTTATTTCACGAATAGCTAATTCAACAGCACGTCGATCAAGATAAGGAATAAATTTAACTGTATTGGTAACATAATGAAAATAGCGTCGTACACGATGTATATCAGCGAATAAGGTAGGTTCGGAGTCTATATATGAATTGTTTGATGGATTGAATGTATGAGAAGCGACACTCAATTGAGTATAATCACGTATCATTTGTTGAACCAAATGTTTTACTGATGTTATTTTCTTCCATGAATTGTCTTTAGTTGCTGCATTTCGAAGATGTTCAATTGTTGCTATATTCTCCCCTTTAGTAAAATATAAATGAAAAAATGGTAAAAATCTGGCATGTTCGACTCGAAGAGTACAAAAAAGAGCTAACCAACGACTGATTTTCAAAAACAGAAAAAGAATCAAAAAATCTGATTTTGAAATATTCTTTACTTTTATTTCATGATTTTAGCAAAATCATTAATGTTCGACATATATTTTCTTGAATAATATCTATCATCCTTGACTGAAACTAACATGAACACTTGCTCGTACTCTTGATGAAGACATAATTTCATGTTTTGAATTCTTCAAAAATTTATAAATATTTTCTCTTTATCGAACATCTCACATTCAGAAAAAAAAAATTTCTATTGGTTAGAGATGTGAAAAAGTAATTTTTTCCTAAATAAAAAAGTGTTGCTTTTAATCGTCAAAAGTTAAAAGCAAAAAAAAAGACGAATAGTTATCAAAATATTATTATTTGATGAATTAAAAACATGAGTTGGATATAAGAACAATAACGAATGGACCATAAAGAACGAGGGTTTTCATATTTTCTCCAGTTTTCCTGGAATCTGACTGAATTCTTTTTTTTTAAAGATTCAGCGTTTAATTTTTTACAAAACTCTTGTATTTACGTGTCCTCTGATCAAACTATCTAGATAAATTTTTTGACAAATTGTACTATCCTCCATTTGGCGGAGTTTCAAAAATAACATTTATTTAGCCCTTTTTTAGTTCAATAAAATTTCGCTATAAAAATTTATGAACATACTAATAAGATAGAGTTTGTTAAGCTCTACAAAATTGACAGTACAATTAGTTCACGTTTGTCTATATAGTTCGATATGAAAACATATAAATATAAAATAACTGTATTTTGTGTTGAGAAACTGTTGATGTTGTATTATGTCTGCAGTATTACTATATAGTAACTGTTTTGCTTGTTTTTATCTGTATGATAACTATTTATGCATGATTTTGTAGAAAATCAAAAGCTGGATGTTTTTAAAAGAAGTTTAGTTTTAATTTATGAAAGCTAGAGAAGATATTAAGAAAATATGGAGATCCCCATTCTTTATAGTTCATCCATTAGTTCTCATTTAGTTTACATGCTCAACAAAAGTTAATCTAAAATACCTATATGCAAATCTACTTTTCCACATATACTCATGGGATAAAAAATTAGGATATATTCACTGCGAAACGCGTTAATGCTGGCCGATTTAACGCGTTCGCAGCGTTTCCCATGATGAGAAACGTATACAACCCTTTTTTCTACTTACTCAAAACGCGTTTCGGAGCTACAATTCTCGGATGAAAACGAAAAGTATATCGTCTCGCAGCGTTTTTAAC